CAGCAAGTATCACACCATTTTATTAAGTGCAGCACAACACATCACTCAACACATGACACGTGTGTCAGCAGCCTGTTAGCTTAGCTTAGCCTGGTTGTCTGGCTGCTCTGATTACATTATCACACTGTTGTTGGTCTCTGACAGTGCAGAGGGCTGCTGCTGCATTAGACCAACAGGAAGCCTTGACACTTATATTTCCTGTTGTCTGACCACATGACCACATTTTAAATAGATCTTGTCTCCATGATCAGTTCCTCAGATATCTTAAACCAAGAAAAATGAAGTTGAGGCGTTTCTCTGATCTTTTAGTAGATGGGTGTGTCAGTTTATTTACAGATTAAATGGGTTTAAAGTATCTCTAAGTACATCGGAATTTAAATAAACTGGAATCTTTTACAAGTGACGTCAACTTGATTAATTATTGCTGACAGCTACTCATCATTGTCTTTAAATATGAACATCTATATGCCACAGACACACACAGAATTACCTCCTGTTCATTTATGAACACTCAGAACCGGCCGACAGACTCTGTCTTTTGCAAGCACAAGTACTTACTCTGTAGCCGACAAATTCAGTTAACCTCAGAATAGTTTTGGACTTGACACGTAAAAAAATGGAAGAAGTAGTCAGAACTTACACTGAAGTAAAAGTAGCAAATACCACAGGGTAAAACAAAATAAAATCCTGCATTCAAAAATCTTCTTTCAGAAGTCCAAAAGTATGAGCATCAAAATATACTTAAACTACCAAAGGTTTTTGTATTGTATTGTATTATAAGTGTTGATGCATTACTGTACATGTCAAATTAGTGTAGGAACAGGTGGGGATCATTTTAAATACTTTATATATTGATTGGTAGCTTAATCTATAACAATACATCAGAATGTATAAGTTGATTTATATTTTGTATTAATAATCTGAATCTGCAAAGAAACTCGTAACTAAAGCTGTCACATAAATATAGTGCAATAAAAATATTTCCTTCTGAAATGTAATGACAGAAATAGAAAATATCTTATTGTTTTATAGCTAGGTTATTACCTTCTATGTAGCCCTGTGGACGGCTCATTGTGTCAGATTTCCAGATGCTGAATAAGTGCTGTCAGTCGATGAGGAAACTTTCTCTGTGACAAAAAGCACAAAACCAAAATGCAGAAATAATTTGTGTCACTGTGGACATCAAGTTTCCCAGTTAGAACAAATTAGAAATGCTTTAGAAAGTATTTGGTAGTTTAGAAGGATAGATTGTATAACCTGATACATTAACAACATATTTAAAACATTCAAAACTCACCAGTGACTTTTCTGCCTGCTCTGTGTTTTATCTGAACATCAGTGTAGATCATCAGCTTTATCTCTTAAAACTTCCTGTTGCTCTCAAAGATGGGGAGGAGGCTTTATCTCAACTCTCTCAAACTGTCTGGTTATTTCTGAATAACTGTTTCCATTTACTTTAATTAAGATAAAAACAAGTGGTTCAGGGCACCCGGTTAGTTAGTGGGTAGAGCTGGCGACCCATGTACTGAGGCTGAGTCCTTTCTGCAGCGGCCCAGGGTTTGAATCTGATCTGCGGCCCTTTGCTGCGTGTTGTCCCCCTTTCCGGTCTATCTTCAGCTGTCTCTATCATAAAGGCAATAAAAGCCCAAAAAATACTTTAAAAACAAAACAAAAAAACAAGTGGTTCATATTCTGTAACACTGAGGCCACAGACGTTTCTCCATCTGATATTCTGTGGTGTCACTTTGAAAACTGCCTCACCCTGCAGACCTCATGGAGAGCATGCAGACAAATAATAAGGCTAGCTTTTAATACATTATCAAACAATAATCTAAATTATTTACTCTGTATTTGGATCCACATTAACTTCTACAAAGTGGCTGCTGGGCTTCCTGGAGTTCACACAAAAACAATAAGTATAGAAACAAACCATTTAAAATCACTCAGTGTCAAAAAGACGTGACAAAACAAGCCAAAGTCAAGTAAAATAAGTAAAATGACTCCACATATGAAACACTACAGAATAGAAACCTACAATGGAAACAAATTTAAATTGTCACAAATACACAGCAACAAAAATAAAATAAAATATCAAGTTCAATATTAATCATTTTTTGTTTTAGTGACTTTTTGAAAGGAAATCTACTTTTGATGTGTCTGATGTTGGAGAGAATATTCAGCAGAAGAAGCTCAATAAAGAACAGCTGACCAGTTCTCACTTGATGTGTATTATACCAATGACAGACACTAGACTGCACTAGAGTTTTAAAGTTCTTCCATCTACTGATTCACAGTACTCAGTAGCACTGAATACTATGTACACTTCCTGTCTGTATACTGAGCAAACACTCATAGTTATGAACACAATATGGCTAAAAATATGTCAAACAACAACAGGATGTTAATAGACTGGAGCTGGATGGAGAACACATGAAATAAAAATAGACAATTTATGGCTCAAAATATGTTAATATGCTTTTAAAGGTCACTCATGTTAATGTAGCATAAATTAAGAAGATCAGTGACATTCTTGCTAATTAACTTACATTTGAAGGCTTCAGTTACCAGTTATGTTACAAATTAAACAGTTTTGCAGACAAAGATTTAATAAAATATGTTTTATTTCAACTGTTATTATCAGATTTTATAAGATAAACTGACACAGACGAGAATGTAGAAACCGAAAGTGATACAATTACAGTCAGTTAAGAAATAAAAAGTCAAAGTGAAATCAAGTTAAATTCACAATAACAGCAACAACACCCTAAAATAAAGAACACAGACAAAGACTTTATTCATTCAGGCACATTTTAAATGTCTAAGAGAGGGGCTACAGATGTTTTTAATAATATTATATAATCCTGAGATATAGCCCCCTGATAGATGTTGAGACTGAAACAGTCTTCCATTCATCCCCGGTGGGGCTGCTGTGACAGAGGGATAGAATATGATGTTTTATAGTAAATTAAAATAACAAATAGTCGTAGTAACAGTAAAATGCTGCTTTTACATTAATGCAAGAGTAATAATAATCTTATAATATAATATAATCCAGTATAACATTCACAATACTTTTAGTACATTTTCCTGATTATACTTAAATACTTTTACTTCAGTAACATTTCCAATGCAGGACTTTTACTTGTTACAGAGTATTTTTACAGTGTGGTTTTAATACTGTTACTTAATAAAGGATCTGAATATTTACTGGTTATCTGTTAAATGAGATCTCTTCATTAACTGTTGAGCACATTCAAAAAACTATTTTAATGTTTGCTTTTTTTATTTCAACAATATTTGTATAAAAATAACTTTCCTCCACATCCTGTATCCTGTACTGAGATTGTTTAACAGGCTGAGATTTCATTTAAACTACATTGTCCAATCAATTGATTACTTGACTCATCAAATTAAATAGTTTGAAACATTTTCTGCATACGCTTCCCAGCATGCATTGCTTTGAGGTTAAAATTCCCCAAATTCCTTTTTTATATGAAAAAAGACACATGATGGAGGCATTTATGTCTTTTTATACATTTGTCTCAGAGGAGTCTTAAATGAAAACATTGTCAGCCATGATGGACACTTCCTGCACCCTTTCAGTATAAGAGCCATTCATTTATGTGGTTAAACATAAACTCAGTATTTACTGTAACTGTCAGTAACACAGGAGGAGTTGTTACTGGGGATAAAACTAAAGTAAAGTCAATATACATCAATCTACATGACAAACTTACAGAGACGGCAAATAACAATTAGAAGAGACAAAGATGGAAAACAGATGAAAGAACAGGTACAGATGTGTGCAGAGGGTGGACACAATAACATGAACACCCATACAGCTGTTCCAAAAGCCGAGAAATGAGTCAAATAAAATACTGCCCTATTAGTTTCTAAAAGTTAAAATTAAAGTTTGTCAACTGCTTAAAGACATTTTCTGTATCACTGTTGCAGTTCTCAAAACATTAAGAGCAGCAAGTATCACACCATTTTATTAAGTGCAGCACAACACATCACTCAAAACATGACACGTGTGCCAGCAGACTGTTAGCTTAGCTTAGCATAAAGACTGGAAACAGGGGGAAACTGCTAGCCTGGCTCTGTTTGAATGTATGAGCACATTTAAAACTCTCTAATTAATACTGTAATTACCTGGAGTCTCCACTGGTTGCCTGGCAACCTCATGCTGACTCCAGGAAGTTACTCCTCTGGCCAAAGAAATAGTCTGGGACATAAACCCTGTAAAACCACAGCGTTTCATTTTTACACTAAACAAGATATAATGTGTTAATTATTGAGCTTTAATTAATCAATGTGTTGTTAAACAGTGACAGATGATGTAGCATACTGTACTTCTACAAGATGGAGTTATTATTCATAGATTTATTTAAACGTTGACATTTTAAACAGAAAACATCAAAATGATTCACACTGTTGTTGGTCTCTGACAGTACAGAGGACTGCTGCATTAGACCAACAGGAAACCTTGACACTTATATTTCCTGTTTTTCGACAACATGACCACATTTTCAAATATATCTCCTCTTCATGATAAGTTCCTCATTTGTTTTCTTAAACGAAGAAGTTAAATTAAAGTTAAAGTGTTTCTCTGAATCTTTTAGTAGATAGGTGTGTCAGATTATTTACAGATTAAATGGTTTTAAAGTATCTCTAAGTACATCGAAATTTAAATAAACTGGAATCTTTCAGTGATGAACTCAAGAAGCCCCTTGAATTTGGCTTTTTGAAACAGGAAGTTGATTACTTAAATATAGAATGATAGAATCTCACTTCCCTCAAAGATGGGGGGAGGCGTTATCTCAACTCTCTCAACTTCTTGTTCCCCAAACCCCCATATATATTTTAAAAAAAAATTTCTTGAATTTAGATTAAGACAAATGGTTTATATCCAAATACCAAATATAAAGATCAGAAGATAAATATAGATTATAGTAACCTACATTGGAAACAAAAACAAAATTGACATAAAGACACTGCTGTTTAGTTTCATTTATTAAAACATTTTATTATTCTTCCATCTACTAAAGCAAACAGTTTTTAGTTCAGTCAGCCAACTCACGTTTGAAATATTTATTACAGCAGCATATTTAGATTTTGGCGTCTAGGCTCCAACCTCATCATTCCCCGCAGATATGTTTACATAGAGATATTGAGGAGTGATGAGCAAATACCTTAACCCCTAGCCGGAGCCTACAGGTGGATGCTGGGGTGGTGCAGCAGGCAGCAATAGCTTACAGAGCAGCAGTAGCAATACGGATACAGGGCAACAGCGGCATTCACAGAGCAGAGGGAGAGCTGGAAAATTGTGCAGTTTAAATAGACCGCCAGATTGGAAGGGTGCGCTTGGTTAGTGATTATGGAGTGAGACATGTCATGTGTGTATATCAGCACAGCTCGGGTTGACTGCCTGAACTAGCTCGCAGGCTTCACGCCATATGTGGGATTGGAGATAAACCTTTTTTAAAATAACAGCTTAACAATAACAGTTTTAGTTACTAGTTACTTTACAAAAGAAGATTTTTTTTATACAAAGATACAGAGACGTTATAAAATATGATGTTTTATAATGAATTTAACCACCCAACAGTATATACAGGTACAGCAGAAATTATATATAATAATGTTATATATATACATTTAACAGCTAGAAAGGAGCTCCACCTCAACAAAGTATGACAGTAAAAAGCTGCTTTTCCATTAATTAAGATTAAGATTTACTTTATTAGTCCCCTATTGGAGAAATTCTACTTTTCACTCTTTTGTATTTTTATACACACACAGGCTGAAATGCACACTCATGCACATGCAGGGCTTGTGGACATGCAAACATGGAGAGAGATGGTGGAGTGATAGGCTGCCACTTTTAGCAGCGCCCCATCAGCAGTTTTTTGGGGGGGTTAAGTGCCTTGCTCAAGGGCACATCGGCAGTGCACAGGAGGTGAAACTGACACCTCTTAAGCTACCAGTCCACACTCTATACTGTGGTCTGTGGGACTTGAACCGGCGACCCTTCAGTTCACAAGCCAAGTCCCTACACACTGAGCTGATTTTGCTTATTTATTCATTTATTTATTCAAATTCTGTATCCTGCACTGAGATTGTTCAACAGACTGAGACTTCATTTAAACTACATTTCAGACACACTGAAGAGTAAAATGTCCAGTTTCAGCTGGTTTCTCACAAATACTTCTGTAAGTATATTTGCAGGACTGATCAAACCAACATTTCAGATCAGGAGCTCCTGCTTTCTTTCCCATCCTCACACAGTCCTCTCCATCAGGATTGTACATTGCCCTGTTATCTGGCTCTTTGCCGCTCCAAAATGTCAACCTAAGAGTTAGAGAACAAGAGAACTGGTTCAATAAAACTGATAAATTTGATTTTCAAAACTGACTAAAAATATTTATCACAGTCAAACCTCTTGTTCAGTGGTGATCTGTCTACCCACAACCATGTGCCCTCTTTCTCTGAGTCTGTCAGTCCGATCCAGAACTTGTCCTCACTAAATTTCATTTTTTCTCTCAGTTTCAGCTCCAGGAATGTCTGGACAGGAAACATTAATGAAGAACACAATATGTAACATGACTTTTCTGTGCTGAGAGACCATGTTAACTAATGTGGAAACACAAGGATGTGATAAAACAAATGAGAATAAAGCCAGTGAGCTACATGAACCTGCAGCAGTGTGTTTTACCTGCTCCTCTCTGCTGTCTATCTGAACCAGATCTCCTCCTTTCTGTCGGCATTCATCTCTGCTCTCACTCCAGGTTAAATAATTGGTGGAGAAATAATAACACTGTCTTCCATGCTGCTCCCAGCCATATTCACATTTTGTACACGAGTCATCTTTGAAGAGATCACAGTAAAGACTTGAGTCAGGTGAAACAGATCACTGTTTATATTTGTGTGATTTGGAAGCAGCAGGAACTTTGAGATGAACAAGTTTGAATCTGAGAGCAGCTGAGACAATCAGACAGAGGCAACAGTTTTCTACTTCACAGGTATATATACTGCCAATCTGACTTCTTGTATCTGTCAATACATCACTGGTTCATTAATCATCATCAGAGGATGCAAACATGGAAGAAAGGCAAAATCCATCACTTACTTCCTTTTACTACAGGAGGTTGTGGACATGTTTGCTGCACCGTGTTGCATGATTTTACTTCACGGTGTCTCTCTGTTATGAAAACAATTTCACTTTCATCAGGATCGTCTCTAATTTATGAACCTGAACCTGAAACTCTTTCACAGTACAGTCAGTTGATAATTAACAGATCAATATCAGGGTCCACCTGTCAGAACTGAAAACAATCCAGTTTAACACAAAATGTGACTTGCAGAGACTTGTGGACTAAATCTTTTAGACAATTTCAAACACAATCTGAGATGTGAGATGTCACATTTTAAAAGTATCTTGCAGTGTTACAAAACACAGTTTAAAGTAGACTTTTAACTTGTAGACTGAACCTTTTCAGACAGTTTCTAAACCTGACTGGATTACCTGTGAGATTTCTTTTCACAGCTTCAAGTTCGTCTCTCAGAGTCTGGAAACTTTGCTTGGTGTGCATGTTATCAAGAGCTGATTTAAAAAAGAAGGACAGGTCAAACACTGCATTAGTAAATCATCAGTGTTTGATAATAAATGTGTTTATTGCTGAAATATGAACTAATTAAGATAAAGTTTGGGTTCCAAAAATAAAATAGATTTTTCATTTTAACTTGTTCCAATGTAAAATCTCTCTGCACTGTAAAAACTCCAATTTATATTATTTGACTGAAATTATCAGCATTCAAAGTAAAAGTTGAAGATGTGTTGTGAAGAAATTGTGATTTAATAAAAGATTAAGTGACAAAGTTCTGTTAACTTTTGTTCTTTAGTCGATGAATTAAGAAAAACTAAATCCATTAATTTATGTGGTTAAACATAAACTCAGTATTTACTGTAACTGTCAGTAACACAGGAGGAGTTGTTACTGGGGATAAAACTAAAGTAAAGTTAATATACATCAATCTACATGACAAACTTACAGAGACGGCAAATAACAATGACAGCAGTTGCCAGGAGAGCGCTGACAACCAGCAGGGCCACTCTCTCTGATCCGACCTTTGACCCTCCATTTGACCCTGAGTGTTGTTGGGAGGCTGGAGCTTCACCTGTTCAACAGGTAGAAGAGACAGAGATGGAAAACAGATGTCAGAACAGGTACAGATGTGTGCAGAGGGTGGTCACAATAACATGAACACCCATACAGCTGTTCCAAAAGCCGAGAAATGGGTCAAATAAAATACTGCCCTATTAGTTTCTAAAAGTTAAAATTAAAGTTTGTCAACTGCTTAAAGACATTTTCTGTATCACTGTTGCAGTTCTCAAAACATTAAGAGCAGCAAGTATCACACCATTTTATTAAGTGCAGCACAACACATCACTCAAAACATGACACGTGTGCCAGCAGCCTGTTAGCTTAGCTTAGCATAAAGACTGGAAACAGGGGGAAACTGCTAGCCTAGCTCTGTTTGAATGTATGAGTACATTTAAAACTCTCTAATTATCACTGTAATTACCTGGAGTCTCCACTGGTTGCCTGGCAACCTCATGTTGACAACAAGACTCCAGAAAGTTACTCCTCTGGCCAAATAAATAGTCTGGGACATAACTCCCTGTAAAACCACAGCGTTTCATTTTTACACTAAACAAGATATAATGTGTTAATTATTGAGCTTTAATTAATCAATGTGTTGTTAAACAGTGACAAATGATGTAGCATACTGTACTTCTACAAGATGGAGTTATTATTCATAGATTTATTTAAACGTTGACATTTTAAACAGAAAACATCAAAATGATTCACACTGTTGTTGGTCTCTGACAGTACAGAGGACTGCTGCATTAGACCAACAGGAAACCTTGACACTTATATTTCCTGTTTTTCCACAACATGACCACATTTTCAAATATATCTCCTCTTCATGATCAGTTCCTCATTTGTTTTCTTAAACGAAGAAGTTAAATTAAAGTTAAAGCGTTTCTCTGATCTTTTAGTGGATAGGTGTGTCAGTTTATTTACAGATTAAATGGTTTTAAAGTATCTCTAAGTACATCGAAATTTAAATAAACTGGAATCTTTTACAAGTGATGAACTCACAAAGAAGCTCAACCTTGAATTTGGATTCCTTTATTGAAACAGGAAGTCGAAATGGCAGAAAACTATAATAAAGTAAAGAATATCTCCTCAAATTCTTGAGTATAGTGATGTAGTTTATATGTAGATGCAACTTTATTCAAGATCTCCTTTTATCAAATTTGATTCATAATTGCTGACAGCTACTCATCATTGTCTTTATATATAAACACTTAAACACATACTTTGTTAACGTAAAAATCCTGCATTCAATATTTCTTGAGTAAATGTACAAAAGTATGATCATCAAAAAATATACTTAAAGTACCAAAGGTTTTTGTATTGTATTGTATTATAAGTGTTGATGCATTAATGTACATCTCAAATTAGTGTTATTATTGATTTAAATATTGATTGGTAGCTTAATCTATAACATTACATCAGAATTTATTAGTTGATTTATATTTTGTATTAATAATCTGAATCTGCAAAGAAACTCGTAACTTAAACTGTCCCATAAATATAGTGCAATAAAAATATTTCCTTCTGAAATGTAATGACAGAAGTAGCATAAAAGAAATACTCAAGTAAAGTAAAGTACCTAAAAATGGTCCTTGAGGAAATGTACTTAGTTACATTCACTGGTTATTACCTTCTATGTAGCCCTGTGGACGGCTCATTGTGTCAGATTTCCAGATGCTGACTTCAGATTAAGTGCTGTCAGTCGATGAGGAAACTTTCTCTGTGACAAAAAGCAAAAAAACAAAATGCTGAAATAATTTGCGTCACTGTGGACATCAAGTTTCCCAGTTAGAACAAATAAAAACTGCTTTAGGAAGTATTTGGTATGTTTCAGAAAGGTTTCACACCATTAGATAGATAGATAGATAGATAGATAGATAGATAGATAGATAGATAGATAGATAGATAGATAGATAGATAGATAGATAGATAGATAGATAGATAGATAGATAGATAGATAGATAGATTAAGCAACATATTTAAAACTCACCAGTGACTTTTCTGCCTGCTCTGTGTTTTATCTGAACATCAGTGTAGATCATCAGCTTCTTCTTTTAAAACTTCCGGTCGCTCTCAAAGATGGGGAGGAGGCTTTATCTCAACTCTCTCAAACTGTCTTGTTCCCCAAAACCACATTCATATATCTGTTATAATAACTGTTTCCATTTACTTTAATTTAGATTAAGACAAATGGTTTATATCCAAATACCAAATATAAAGATCAGAAGATAAATATAGATTATAGTAACCTACATTGGAAACAAAAACAAAATTGACATAAAGACACTGCTGTTTAGTTTCATTTATTAAAACATTTTATTATTCTTCCATCTACTAAAGCAAACAGTTTTTAGTTCAGTCAGCCAACTCACGTTTGAAATATTTATTACAGCAGCATATTTAGATTTTGGCGTCTGGGCTCCGACCTCATCATTCCCCGCAGATATGTTTACATAGAGATATTGAGGAGTGATGAGCAAATACCTTAACCCCTAGCCGGAGCCTACAGGTGGATGCTGGGGTGGTGCAGCAGGCAGCAATAGCTTACAGAGCAGCAGTAGCAATATGGATACAGGGCAACAGCGGCATTCACAGAGCAGAGGGAGAGCTGGAAAATTGTGCAGTTTAAATAGACCGCCAGATTGGAAGGGTGCGCTTGGTTAGTGATTATGGAGTTTTTTAAAATAACAGCTTAACAATAACAGTTTTAGTTACTAGTGACTTTACAAAAGAAGATTTTTTTTTAAACAAAGATACAGAGACGTTATAAAATATGATGTTTTATAATGAATTTAACTACCCAACAGTATATACAGGTACAGCAGAAATTATATATAATAATGTTATATATATACATATAACAGTTAGAAAGGAGCTCCACCTCAGCAAAGTATGACAGTAAAAAGCTGCTTTTCCATGAATTAAGATTAAGATTTACTTTATTAGTCCCCTATTGGAGAAATTCTGCTTTTCACTCTTTTGTATTTTTATACACACACAGGCTGAAATGCACACTCATGCACATACAGGGCTTGTTGACATGCAAACATGGAGAGAGATGGTGGAGTGATAGGCTGCCACTTTTAGCAGCGCCCCATCAGCAGTTTTTTGGGGGGGTTAAGTGCCTTGCTCAAGGGTCCACCGGCAGTGCACAGGAGGTGTCTGTGGGACTTGAACCGGCGACCCTTCGGTTCACAAGCCAAGTCCCTACACACTGAGCTGATTTTCCTTATTTATTAATTTATTTATTCAAATTCTGTATCCTGTACTGAGATTGTTCAACAGACTTCATTTAAACTACATTTCAGACACACTGAAGAGTAAAATGTCCAGTTTCTGCTGGTTTCTCACAAATACTTCTGTGAGGCACTTTGCAGGATTGATCAAACCAACATTTCAGATCATGAGCTCTTGCTTTCTCTCCCATCCTCACACAGTCCTCTCCATCAGGATCTCTTTCTGTCCAGTTATCTGGTTCTTTGCCGCTCCAAAATGTCAAACTAAGAGTTAGAGAACAAGAGAACTGGTTCAATAAAACTGATAACTTTGATTTTCGAAACTGACATACAAATATCAGCAAATATCATACTTATATCAGTCAAACCTCTCTTTCAGTGGTGATCCGTCTACCCACAACCATGTGCCCTCTTTCTCTGAGTCTGTCAGTCCGATCCAGAATTTGTCCTCATCAAAGTTCATTTTTTCTCTCAGTTTCAGCTCCAGGAATGTCTGGACAGGAAATGTTGATGAAAAACACAATATGTAACATGACTTTTCTGTGCTGAGAGACCATGTTAACTAATTTGGAAACACAAGGATGTGATAAAACAAATGAGAATAAAGCCAGTGAGCTACATGAACCTGCAGCAGTGTGTTTTACCTGCTCCTCTCTGCTGTCTATCTGAACCAGATCTCCTCCTTTCTGTCGGCATTCATCTCTGCTCTCATTCCAGGTTAAATTATTGGTGAAGAAATAATAACACTGTGTTCCATGCTGCTCCCAGCCATATTCACATTTTGGACATGAGTCATCTTTGAAGAGATCACAGTAAAGACTTGAGTCAGGTGAAACAGATCACTGTTTATATTTGTGTGATTTGGAAGCAGCAGGAACTTTGAGATGAACGAGTTTGAATCTGAGAGCAGCTGAAACAATCAGACAGAGGCAACAGTTTTCTACTTCACAGGTATATATACTGCCAATCTGACTTCTTGTATCTGTCAATACATCACTGGTTCTTTAGTCATCATCAGAGGATGCAAACATGGAAGAAAGGCAAAATCCATCACTTACTTTCTTTTACTACAGGAGGTTGTGGACATGTTTGCTGCACCGTGTTGAATGATTTTACTTCACGGAGTCTCTCTGTTATGAAAACAATTTCATTTTCATCAGGATTGTCTCTTATTTATCAATGTGAACCTGAATCACAGTTTCAAACAGAAACTCTAACAAACTTACCTGTGAGATTTTTGTTCACAGCTGACAGATTTTGGGGGCGTTCCATAGTTTGAATGTTTTTAGAATCTAATTTTTTTTTTTTTTAAAGAACAACAAGAAAAGTATAGTTAGTTGAGGTTAAACACATATCTAAGATTACATTAGATTGGTGATATTTTTCAAAACCTAAAAAAGACTGAAAATGTGACATTTCTAATTTAATTTCTGATGATTTTTAAATCAACAGTTCTGAAAAAGCCTTAAATCCATAAACTCTGTTCTTCAAAACAATGATCAGCTTTTATAAATCAATCCAGATGAATTCACTTTTAAAAGAACAAACTCACAGGTAAAGCCGAGAGCGATGACAGCAGCTACCAGGAGAGCACTGAGAACTACTATGACCACTCTCTCTGGTGTGACCTTTGACCCTCCATTTGACACTGGGTGTTGTTGGGAACCTGTTGACCAGCAGAAGATACAGACAAACCAGATGTAGTAGTGGAGGAAGTATTCAGCTCCTTCACTAGAGTACAAATAATACTACACTGTAAAAATACTGCAAGTTAAAGTCATAAAGTCGAGGCATCCACCACCCTTTTTCTTTCTCTCTTTCTTTCTTGGTCGTTTTCTTTCTGTCTCTCCCCTCTATCTTTTCAGTATAGGGACATATAGGATATGTTATTAATTTGAGATGAAACTTGTTACACACATTTCAATATTATTTAATTGTCATTTACATAACGATAATTGATTATTCAATTATATTTTAGGATGCATATTTTCCATCATGTAAAATCTATATTGAATATTTTCTGGTCTATGTAACATAATAACAAACAACCACAAACAGCATAATAGAAATATTCTCTATATTTATTTGTACTGTGGCATTTTTGTTTGTTTCTGCGTTGTCTGTATACTGTATCTTGTGTGTGTGTGTGTGTGTGTGTGTGTGTGTGTGTGTGTGTGTGTGTGTGTGTGTGCCTGTATTAATGTAAATGCATCATTAAGAATTCCTTTTTATTTTCATTACTGACAAATCTTTTTATAATTATAATTAATTGATTGTTTGGTTTGTAAAAATTCTGACAATAGTGAGAAATGTCATCACAATTAGGGCTTCACATTGCTTGTTTAATTTAGATAAATTAAGTAATAAGGAAACAAAAAAAAGCACATTTATGAAGCTGAAACTATTAAAATGTTTTTGGATGAAAAAGGACTCAAATTTGTACTTAAGTCCAGTATTGTTACTCTCCACCAATGCACAGATGTTCATATTATTGTGTAAAAATTAATTAACTCTGTTGTATTTTTTTCTAATGCTGAGATATTAATCAGAAAAAGATCAAGATAAAGATCTATACGTTTTTAAAACTGAAGTTCAACTTTATGCAAATAGTGGCTATTAATTGAAGTACTTCTTATACTTCTACTTACATTTTAATGTGTAACATTGTACATTTTAATGGTGATTGTAAATGTGTAGCATTAACACTACATGCCACATTGACATTCACACACCGATGTATCTTTGGAGTTCAGTATCTTGCTCAGGGATACTTCGACATGCAGCAGGAGGAGCCGGGGATCAGTGGACGACCCGTTCTACCTCTGAACCACAGTCGCCTTTAAAGCTGTGATAAGCCACGGATACGTATGAGTTGTTTGCTTTTTAAGGAACTTTTAGAAACACTACCGAGCAGAAACCCACATTCACACGTTTAATGCTGGTTCTTCATTTCCTCACTTTAGTGCTGTTTTTTATAATGCTGATGGCAGACTGTGACTGCTGTAACTTCAACTTCAGTTAACTTACATATAGGGAGTCTCTACAAACAGGTTAAAATAGATTAAGATTCAAACAAATAGTAGTAAAAATGAAGCTTTATATATTAAATCACTAAACATTTGGCCCTTTTTCATGTTTACTTCCTCTTTTCTTTGGAATTTTTTCTTAACTTTCTTCTCTTCAACGCTTTATCTTCCTGTAAACTACTAGACACTCTTCACCCAGTAGACTGTGTTACTTTCATTCTTTCTTTGCATTTAAAAGTTGGGAAAAGCAGATGAAAAATGAAGGTGATGATCTGTGAAAAAAAAGGGTTATTTTAACCCCTTAAAGCTACATCATGCAATGAAGATGTGGTGACAGTTTGATCCATAATCAGTTTACTGCAGTTAAAGTTCTGTTAAAGTTACTGGTGGCTTCTGATGCTTTTATAAGTTTGTTCACACCAGTAATGTTTGTTATATATTTGTACAGACGTAATTTTTTTAAATTAAGAATTAAGAAAAATACAAAATGCTAATATATATATATATATTCTTGCTGTTCTGAACTTTCTGTGTTTTAATAGTCTGATGTTTCTAGAGACCACTCCCTCCGCAGTCTGATGAAGAAAGTTCACTGAAGAAAGATTTAAAATGCGGAGACAGGTTTGTTTCATGATGACCACTGACTGGAGGTCACAGTTCACCTTCTCATTTACAGAACAGTGTTTTACCCACCAGGGAGCTCTGTGGATGACTGAGTCTTCAAGATCCTGACTTCAGAGTATGTGGGTTCAGCCTCTGAGGAAGCGGTCCCTGCGACACAAAACACAAAACCAAACTGCTGATGAAAGAGCTGCAAATATCTGCAGATAACTGATAAAGTGTGAGGTTAAACGTTCATCGTTTAAAAGAAACAGGTATTTAAAGCTCTGGTAGCAAGCATAGATAGATAGATAGATAGATAGATAGATAGATAGATAGATAGATAGATAGATAGATAGATAGATAGATAGATAGATAGATAGATAGATAGATAGATAGATAGATAGATAGATAGATAGATAGATAGATAAAGACTCACCACTGGTGTTTCTCTTCGGTCTTGTGAACTTAACATCAGAGTACACTATTCCATCAGCCTCAGACATTTTACTGTTGTGACCCTCAGTGAGTCTGAAAGAGAACTTATTTCAAGTTCACAGCTAACTGTTAAAAAATCCTTCCTGTAAGACTGAAGTTGAAGTTCTTTATTCATTGGTTTGAATAAATGTGTCACTTCCCTTTTGTACAATGAAGTCACAGATGGGGGGAAGGAATGAGTTTAACTTTTTCAAGTTTTGAGGATCTGTAACTGAAAGATTTGTTTTAGTACAAACTAAACAAGAAATCCAAATATTTCCCTTTCCCTCCTCTTCACTGAATCTCTCCTGATATTCTCAATCAAAATACTAAAAATAATTTTCCAATAAAATTAAAAAATTGTAAAGGTTGTAGCCTGTTTTAATAATACTATACATACCATCCATAGTCAGTGCAGTGTATAAATATGTAAAGAACTATAATAAAATACAGTATAATATATAGAAACCATGTCACACTGACTGAATGTTTTGTTTGTGATAAATGCACATCATTTTACTCAACGTCTTCTTAATAACTTTTTTATGAGTTTGCAACTGTAGTAATCAGTATAGGCCTTTAAGATTCGTTTGTGTGTATTTGTTTTGCACTATTTCCAGCATCAAGAATTAACTTTCACGCTGAATAAGTAGCTTTCAACTTTATCTCAAAGTTAAAGAGTCTGCTCAGTAGTAAGAAGTAATATGATTTTTTTTTTTTTTTTTACTTTCAGCATCCACATGATTTCTGTAATTTGACATTTGTGACTTTGGGACATTAAAAAAAACAAAAAACTTTCCCCAAACTACCAGCTGTTAATAAAATAAGCAAAAACAAAATTCATAAATAAGAAAAAACATATATTTTATATTAAAAAATAAAAATAAAAATAGTAAATACAATTGATTAATAATTAGAATTAGCATGGGACACATAATGTGCATTTCAAAACACCATAACATACAATAAAATAATTTAAAAAAAAAATTAAAACAAATAAAAATAAAAATAAAAAAATATAAATTTCCGCACTCAACTCTCGGATGTTACAAAACGAGACGTCACACGAATTCCAACCAATGAACGTCCACATTCACTGACGGAACAGTCTGCCGACCAATCAAACGCCGTGTTTGCCAGAAGAGGGCGGGACTCTTCCCGACCAACTCGGGCTGAAGTGTCACCAGGACGAACACAGACACACTTCACTAAAGTTTGTGTCCCGTTGGTCTCCCGCTCCAGACATGGCCCCCAGCACGCAGCTCAAAGAGGCGATATCCGATGTGCAGGAGGGGATCCGGGCCATCCTGCTCGGGCCACCCGGAGCCGGGAAGGGGACTCAGGTGAGAGAGAGACAGGCAGAGAGAGAGAGAGAGACAGACAGGCAAGCTAATGGAGCTAGCTGTTAGCTGTTCAGCGCATGGTCGATATTACCGCTAGCTAATGCTAATGCTAGTGTATCTGGGCTTTACCTGGACAAGGTGAGGTTGTATTATTCTTATATGTTCGTTAGTTTTATGCTGAAGCGTCTGAGACACTGACAGACAACTTTAAATGTGTTTTTCTTTTGCTGTTTATCTTAGTTTCTGGGGCATATTGGACCGTTTATGACTTCTTATCGACTAAATTACTGATTGGTTCATCAAAACTGATCAGATTCATTTATAGTGACGTTGATAATTTGATTGGCATCCCTTAATAAACTCTCCTTTTCTCTGCTGGGGCCACGTCTGGTTGCCATTGACAGGACAACCAGGTGGAGAGTGTGGGACCAGAGCTGCAGCAGTGGACGAGATGTAGATTCACAGTGGCAATAGTCTGCAGTCTGACACCCATAAGGATTGGTTAAATACACAAGAAAGCTCAAGTTAGTCACAATTTACTCTGGTCAAACCAGTGCTTCAGGTAGATCTGCTTTCAGTTAGTAGCCCATGGCACAAAACTCTTGCTTAATAAAGATTGCAAATACGATCAAGTTATTAATTTAAACCAGTATGAATGTGGCCTTTTTGAAGAAGTTTCACACATCCAAAGAATTTCTATAACCTGTATATAGCTACTACAGGCTATTAAAGGTGACCTGCGTCTATTAGTACCCTGCTTTTAATTGAAGTCTTGCTGTACTGACTAATATTCCTGCATCTATCCAGAAACTACTAAATATCGGTTACAGTACAGACAGTCTACAAGCATCTTTTAGATTTAGAAGACAAATTCCCTTTCACAATTATGAGTGTGGAAGGATTCGTTTTGCAACTTTTTGTAGGGAAAAAAAAAAGAAATGTCACAATGACCTCCTTCAGGCGATGTCTCCACATTGTGTAGTGCTCTCAGATCAGTCACACAGGCACATGCTCTGGCGTTGCTTCTGTGTCTTCGGTCTCTTGTTTCTTTAACACGTGCTGTAATCAGGTTCAAGTCTTCTGTTCTCAGTAAAGCACTCACTTATTCATTGGCTCTGAGGATTCACTCGTCACTCTGTATTTAAAGAAGTTTCTCAATCGGCAAAAAAATGAACCCGGAACTGTTTTGATATTCAATTAATAGAAAAAATTGAATAACATTTTCCTGTTCCAGCTTCTAAAACGTGAAGATTTTCTGCTTTTCTTTGTCTTGTATGATAGTGAAGTGAATGCCTCCTTGCATTTTGTCGGACAAAACAAGTTATCAATTAATCAAGATGATCTATAATGAAAATAATTGTCAGTTGCACCCCTGGTTGTTCTTCCATATGGTGCATGTTGTATTGCAGGTGAGGCCATATGCAAAATATCTGCCTGCTCAACCTGTCCTGTATGTTATTTGTCAGAAAACCACTTCCCCTTATCTTCAATTCTTAATTGACAATATTTACTAGGGAACAAAGCTTTTATTTCCTCCCCATTTGCTGAAAGAGAAGGTCCTGCTAATATGTAGTCGGTTGAGTTATCTATAAGACAACTGAACATGCTAGAAAAGTGGTTTGGCCTGCAAAAGTTCAGTGTTGAATCATACCTGCAGTGAAATAATCACTGCTGCTGACTGACTCTCTGGTCTCACAGCCAAAATAAAACAAATTGCTCTCGTGCTTTTAGCAGCCAGCAGTGCAGGTGGTTGGCTCTCTGACAGACCCAGTGGGTGGAACAAAGTTAAAATCCAAACGTGTGTCTGGTTGTTGCTGGTGATAATTTAAAAACTTTTATAATTCATTGTTTTACATGATTGATCTCTCCTTCACCCTGCAGGCCCCTCGGCTAGCAGAGCAGTACTGTGTTTGCCACCTGGCCACCGGAGACATGTTGAGGGCGATGGTGGCTTCAGGCTCAGCGCTCGGCAAGAGGCTCAAGGAGACCATGGATGCTGGCAAACTGGTAACACTTTTGCTCGTCTGCTTCTCATGATCTGTGTGTGTATTTTTCTTTCTCTGACCCTTTGGCCTCTCTGAGGCTCCATGTTGACATTGCAGCCCTTCATGTCCAGTCCCACGTGACTGCATGTCTCATGTCTTTATTTGTCGTTTGCTAAAATAGCTTCCACTGAGTGCAACAACTCTAGGACTGACAAGTATGCATTCCTTCAAGTTGTAGCTTATATATGGAGAAAAGTAATACTCTAAGAATCACAGGTGATTGAGTTATCTGCATGAAGCGGTGCATAGATTACATGTTAAATCAGTGGTTTCCTTCCCTTGTTCTGTCACTGAGAAAACTTCTGACCCCTGACTAGTAGAGTAGAGAACAACTGAAACTGTACAATTAACCCAAATAGTGACAACACTGTGCCCTTATCCTGTGGGTCAATTTCATTCAGTTTTCTTGACAGAAATAAATGACATTCTGAGATATAGGCACACTATATTTTCTTAAAAGAAGTTTTCTTACAGCCCTTGAAATCAAGAAGGCCGTGGCCCCTAGTAGGGGTCCAAACCCCCTCGGTTGGGAACCAGTGCGCTGCACATTTTAATCGGCATGTACAGAACCTGCAACATTTATATCTATCTATCTATCTGTCTATCTGTCTATCTATCTATCTATCTATTCGAAATTCCTTTCAGCGTAATGCAGTTCAACAGCACCATAGGTTACATCTTCCCAAATGACGTGTTTAAACAAGAACTCATAACCTTCATGGAGGTAGAATTCCTAAATGTTTCCACATCTCTCCCGGCACCAAAATAATAACGTGTTCCCTTTTTGCACCTTTTGTAACATCTGTAATTGTGTGTTTTCTTCTGTATTTGTCTGAATGTGCGGTACCGTATGTGTGTCTTTATGCGCCACTCTGTCCCCTTTTCAGTGTCTCATCATGTGACTGATCTCTCTCATTGTGTTTTCCTCAGAGCTGTTTACTGATCCACTGCATAAACAAGTCTGTTTGCTGTCCTTATGTCAAATGACTCTTTTCATTGTTGCCATGAAGGAAATTCATACATGTGTATCACATGTATCAGAAGGAACTGAGCTGTGTCAACATGTGTTTTCCTTTTAAAGGTCACAGTATTGTTGACGCTCTTCATGTGGCTACCTAACAGAGCTGTGGTTATGCAGGATGTGGCAGATTACGGTGTGAATAGACCGATGAGAGAATTGTCTTTTTGTTCACTTGCAGGTCAGTGATGAGATGGTCGTGGAGCTTATAGAGAAGAATCTGGACACGTCGGCCTGCAGGAACGGCTTCCTGTTGGACGGATTCCCTCGCACAGTCAAACAAGCTGAGATGGTTAGGATTGCATTTGATGCTGCTGCTATCGGCGGTTGTCGTATGAACCAAAACAGCACAGAGTGAAATGAATTAATCAAAAGGGAGTTCAACAGTGCGTTGACCAAATTGTAGGTCACAATAGAGATTTAAAGAATAGTCGGACAGAGTGAGACAAGCTGTTTCCCTACATAATCCATATGAGAGAAGTATTGACAGGGGAAATGTCTCTAATAATATGTTGCAAACTAGTTTCCTCTTTTAGTTTGAGGTTTTGTGTTTCAGAATTTACATTTTTCACTCCAGCAAATACATTTAGACATTCAGCTGATGTTTTTATTTAGCCTGAGTCATCATATTGGAGAACATTTGAAGGAAAAAGAGCTACAGTAAGAGCTGGGGGCTATTTGTACTGAACAAAAGAGATCGGTCAATGTCTTATGTTTGACTCCCTCTGCGTTTGTCTCTTCCAGCTGGACGGCTTGTTGGACAAGAGACACGAGAAGCTGGACTCTGTGATCGAGTTCGCCGTGGATGACTCTCTGTTGGTCCGCAGGATCTGTGGCAGGTAGGAGCCGGATTTTAATTATTCAACACCAGAGAAAGAATTCAGTCTGTTTTATTTCCCACTGGTTTATGATTTCCCCATGATGGGGCTTTTTTTTTTTTTTTTTTCTGTTGGCCGAGAAGCTCCTCATTCTGTCTGCGCGTTAAATCCATCCGGGCAGGTAGATTGATTCATGTGAACACAAGAGTCTGGGACAGTGAGATAATGTTGGAGAGAAGTGGAGCGTGAAAGCATGCGATTAACAGTGAATGTGGCCTGAAGCGGTTTCGTGAGCGTGCTGTGGCTGGAAGGTCGCAGGTTGAATCCTTAAAGAAGCCGTTGTGTCCGTCCCTGATGAAATGTGCTGAATACCATAGCTGCTCAGAGCCTGGTTGTACTTTTAAACTGTGGTCTGAAACTTTTCATGAAGCTCAAAGGGGACATGGGAAGGTTAATAAGCTGTTAATACATTTTTCTACATCACACCAGTATTTATGTCAGCAGAATTTCAGAACAAACTCTGTTGATTTCGAAGAATTTGCCATGATCAGTAGATCCTCACGGCGCTTTCAGTTAGAGTTCAACTTAAATAAACTTGGACAATCTAATTTGTGACGCTGACCAATTGCAAACCCTCTTGACAGTGCCGACCTTAAAGGGAATAGAGACAAATGGTGTCGCCACATCCAATTTTATAAATCCTCTAGCTGACTTAGGTTTAGTTCTCCCTCGTGACGTTCCCATTCCCACAGTGAACTGAATGTATACACTGTCTGTGAAAGTAGAGATGTTTGGATGGGACGAATGAAGGTAACCTGAATTATTCAGTCTCAAAACACTAGTGGGAAAATGTGTCTGATGCTGGTTTTTTCAGGGTGGGGAAAAATAACTACCACAGTATGAATAACGAAAGTGTTAGCAATGTAAAGATATACAGCGAGACAGTTCAGTCACTATATGGTATAAAGACAGGTTCGTTTTTACAAATAAAAAGGAAATATGCATGGTTTTGCACAGTTTATACTGTATAAATAACATAAGAGAAAATATTATGTTATAATAGATATTATAAGAAAAATAAAGGAATCTTTTTCAATTAAAATTTGTCTTCAGTCTCATAGAATAGTGAGAAAATATTATTGTGAATTGTATCAAATCATGAGTTTTTTTGTATTGACTGTATCTAGTACTCATTCAACCCGAGCTGGCGTTGCATGTTTACTTATGATTATTGATCAATCAATCCATTATTCCTTGCATTGCATTTAGATTAAATACATTATTTAATATGCAGAAAGTATCCAGCTTGCATGAGGTCTGAGGACCAGTAATAGCACACTGAAGGCCTGTCTTCCATACATTGGAGCAGCTGGTGACAGCACGGTCCAGTTATGTGGTTGGCTGGTAAACATCAGCTTGTTGAGGTGAATTTTTGTATTTTAACAGCATTTTATTCACCATTTTTTCATCATGCAACAGGTTTGACAAAATGTCACAAATGCACAACTTTATTGCAATAGCAGACATACGTTACACAATTTGCAGGGTTAATTGCTCCGCCTCAGTACTTCTGCCTACAATCTGGTTTTTCCCTTTTAAGCATGCTATCTGTTGAATGTATATTGTGCCACAAGTGTAAAAGCCACAACCAACAGCAGCCGCTGCTCAACCCACAAGTAGTCGCTATGTCAACAAGCGTCCAGTGGCACTTGCTTTGCAAAGATGCTCTGATAGATTTCACTGTTCCACTTTCTGGTGTGACCTCACACTGATTCTCTTATGTAAGCTCTATTGGTTGAGGCTTAACAGAGAACTAAAGAGAAAGTTGCACATCTGATAACAACTTAATTTGCAGTGTGTTGTTGTTGTTGTTGTTTCCTGGTCCATTTCCATCTCTGCCTCCACTGTGCAACAAATCATTATTTATGTAACGGTTTTGAAGCAGTTTAGTATAACATGCTGTGCTCTGATTTGAATCTGACCCACACATTGCACAGGCAGACGGGTTTTCCGAGGCCTTTCATCTGAACACGTGTCAGCGCTTCAGAAAATGAGTGTTGTGAAATCTTTTATTGTGTTTGTTATTGCAGCACAGCGTTTGTCCTCTTTTAACCGCGGTACACTATCCGTATGCCACACTAAAAAGAAGACACTGTTAGTTTGCAAAGGGCCATGTTTCTGTCCAGGGGGGTCCTTTTGTGAGGAGGAGGAGGCCGGCTGATGCCTTTTCAAGGCCAAGTAGGACAAGGGCATCATGTGGGATGTGAAAAGGACAGTTAAGTAGTTAGTGAGTCACCCTGGCTGTCGAACCCTCATCTGTCTCTCCTCCTCTGCTCTCACTCTTGATTTCTTTTCCGTCCTTGTCCTGTCCTCCTTCACCGTCTCCCCTTCATTTCCCCAGACTAATTCATCAGCCAAGTGGCCGCTCCTACCACGAGGAGTTCAACCCCCCTAAAGAGCCCATGAAGGATGACGTAAGTAGTTTCACTATCAACCCACTTAGAAACCACTTCTGGCTAAACTGCCACCGACCTAAAATCACTGCCAGGCTGGAAACTGGTGTCAATTAGCCAAATTCAGACTTAAGTGCTTTGATGCATTCTGGATGTATAAAATGTTACAGACATTTACTCCAAATTCAATCCATGGAGATGTTTCTGGTTAAAAGCTACCATCCTTTGATTCATCCTATTAACTCTGGATACGTCACAAAGGAGTAGACGTACAGGAAGTGACTCAGAGTAGAGAGAAGAGAAGAGAATTAAAAATTTGAGATTGTAGCACCATTGAACTTAATGTTTTGGACATCCAGTGTGTTTCCTCCATTAGAGAGGATTTCTGCTTGGTAGTGGCACCCAGTGGAGAGAGACTTGTCCTTTAGGTGGGAGGCTGTGATAGATTTATTGATGGGACTAACGTTTTTACAATGTGATGACAGATCAAGATTTCCTTTAGTGTTTTAAAGATTACCCACGCTAATACCAGAAGAAATGACCACACTTGTATTCAATAAAGAACAGCAAAGGTCATATCGGGGTTCCCACGCGTCCTGGAAAACCTGGATATTTAGAGACTTGTTATCCAGCCATGCATAAAATCATAAAGTCATAAAATGACCAAATTTCCTGGAAATAATCTATGTTGTCCTGGAAAATGTGAAATTAGCCCCTCACTTTAATTGCCTACGTAAACCTGGGTTAGAGGAAAACTGTTGTAAACTTTAGTCTCCAAAGACGGCTGTGGTGAGAAAAATGGAAAGTGAGCTAGTGTTGAGTTTCTCATAAACTCTGACCACCTGTAATAAACCTGTGTCCCTTCATTATGAACCCTGCATCATTTAAAAAAAAAAAAAAACCCTACTGGTAAATTATATGACCGTTTTACAATATGAGCAAGTGCTGTCTGTTGTCAAGAACAACTCAGATACTCGTGATACAGAATACACGTCAGATATCAGTGCCCTGTTTTTTCACAAATTTGAAACTGTGGAAAATTTTATGTAAGGTAACATGAGGCCGGTGTGACTGAGGGAAGGCAACTAAAAGCCAAGTCTTTACGTTTTATAATAACATAGACCTCGAACTGTATTAAATGTTGATTGGTCACATCCAGCCAATACCCAGTCCGATTTATAAGGCTAGGTTTGGAGCTGATACCGATCCGACAGATTGGATCAGTTCATCCCTTTTTAAGTGTACTTTACTCTTTGTATATTTGTCAAACCATGTGGCTCATCTACGAACAAAGAACACACCGTAACACACAATCCCCCCCTGGCTTAGAAAGGAGGCTGTGATTTCCAAAGCTTCTGTTTCGACTAACACAAAGACGGCTCGCAGTACAGGAACAACTAACGCGTGTGCGAGAAGGAAAGTGAGAACAGCGACACTTGATTAGGTGCCGTATGAAAGTAGATGTGAGCGTTTACGTAATTGTAGACAGCAATTGAAACTGCTTGAATTGTTTGTCTTTGTCCCTGTTCTCATGCATTTCTCTCCCTATTGTCTGCGCTCAGGTGACAGGCGAGCCACTCATCCGCCGCAGTGACGACAACGAGACGACGCTGCGCTCCCGTCTGGACGCCTACCACCGGCAGACCGCCCCTCTGGTGAAGTACTACAGTGCCAGGGGCCTGCACTCGGCCATCGACGCCTCCAAGAACCCAAACGTCGTCTTTGCCTCCATCGTAGCTGCCTTCTCTGCTGCCACGGAAACCCCCGCCCGTGCCACCGCCTGTAAAGACCAAGTGTTCTTCGTTTAAAAACCTTTTTCATCCTTCACATATCCCTTCCAGCGGGTTCTTTCTTCCCTCAAGGGTGGAGATTATACAAGAGTTGATCAAGTGTCACAGTGGCAACAAAATGTAACTTTGCGAGCTGTAGACTATGGAGACCGAATGTGGTTGTAGAAACAGAAAGGATATAAACGTATTTTCCTTATTCCTCGTCACAAAATCAAGTCTGAAAGAGAACAAGCCAATGTAGAACTGATCAATAACCATAAAACAAACTGGTGATTAGCACCAAACTGCAGCTTCTGCCTTTCACCCATATAGACATGAGATTTAAGGTTCTGACATTTAGCGGAGCAAAATGCCGTGTATGTACCGAGAGATGCTTTTCATCGGGAGGTGTTTAAAAATATTGATATTTGTTGCATATTTTGCCCTTCGCTGGACTGGTTTGCTCTTGTTTAATCGATTACTTTGCCCTTTACTCTTCCTCACTCTCTGATTCTCATGCACATACAGTAGATCTCCTGTTTTTCTGCTATCAGTTGTATTTCCTATTCCTTTGCATCCTTTAAAAGTAGAAATGCTTTAGAAGCATCATACATGTGTTGTCCAACCTGCTGCAGTCATTTTCAGTGGCCTTTAACATTATCAAATGTTACAGTTCAAAAAAAAAAAAATAACCTAAGACAGGGCTGCGGAAACGCCATTTAATGAAATAGAATGTGTATTTTGCTTTGCATTTAATTATGAATTATTATTGAGAAATATGAAATGTGTGAAGATTTTAATCATAGTTTGTCAGAGGTTTTCGAGCTGTGAGGTATGCCTCAGGCCTATATAAAGCAGATTGTAGAAGAGACCACTTTTGTGTCCCTCCATAAGAAAACCTGTTTCAGCAGCAGGTTTCAGTGCTGCTGATGCTGTGATTGCTGTGTCCACTGGAGACTTTTCCCCTGCTTCTTACCCGGGACATACTCTCCTTTCTTCATTCATCCATCAGTATAACCTACTGTCTCCCTCTCCTCTGCTCAAGTACTGCTTTCACTCTCTTGGACTCAATGGATGACCTTTAGGACCTTTGAGAGACTGTACTGGTTGAAAATTAACTCAGCATTTGATTGATATAGTTGATTGCTAAATCAAAATGCACTTTACTGTGAAACAGACTGTACAGTGTTGAGTAGCTAAATTATTCCTATAGACCTAAATAGTGTGTTGTGTCAGCTCCATGTGGCTCAACACCATTGTCTTTTTTTAGAAAGTTTACAGAGTTCTGGTTTGCGACATTCATTTGTCTGTTTCCTCCCGATGATGCATGGGATTTCCTGTCTGCCTTTTTTGGAATTTTATTAGCCCAAACTATTTCTGAGAAACAGGATTTCTCAGAAATCTGGTCAGTGGGAGTGCTGATTATTGATTTACACCAAATATTTGTATGTAGTGCTGTAATGAGACATACCCCGAGTCTTTTTTGATAATGTTCGATGATGGATAATAATGGATGTGTAAAGAGGCACTGACACAACATTCCCGAGTTTAGACTATAGTGTAATCTAAATTGGTTGCTGAATATGAGAAAGGTAAAAGTGTAGTCTGGATCATTTCCCATTTCACTTAAAGCATCTGTAATCGATATGTATCAAATGTGAAAAGAGTCGATCATAATGATGAACCTATAGAGAATTACCACCTGATTCTGCAGCTATCCTCGACTTTCAGCTCATTGTTCAGCTGTCCGGCAGCAATTTTCCTGTTTTGGTTCACTCTCACCTCTCTAGTGTCTGGATTCGTGGCCACAGCAACCCAAACTGTATGCAGCAGACACAGTTAGCAACTAGAAGGTGAACACGGTGGAGCATTAGGCAGCTAAAGAGCCAGATAATCCCCTTAGGATTTGGTAGAGAGTTAAAGCAGAGTGAATATTGGACTTACATCCATCAGGTGGACTCAAACATGACTCGAGAATGAGTGACAATGCTGCTCTGTAACTTACTTGATATATAAATAAGCAACTATTCACAAGTTTACCCCATCCACTGAAAAGGTGATGATGTGTCAGTGCTGGTTAAAAACTTGCTTCCGCTGCCCCCAAGTGGTCAACAAATTATTGCAGGTTAATTATCAGTGGCATGATCTTAAAAAAATACTGCACTGACAGTAAGTAGTAAGTAAAGTTGCTTTTGAAAGAGCATTTGAAAGCATGCTGGTCACTTTACAAATTCACATACACAATTCATAAAATGGCTTGTTAGGAAAAAAAGTCATTACAAGAATTTTGTATTGGATTGTAGAGCACTTGTTGAAGCACTAATGTGAACTTTGTGTTTGGTTTTTAAAATGGGGGGGGGGGGGTTTCACATCGGTGTTCAGAGGCCAGCTGTCAATGAATTGTTCGGATAGTGACAGTGAACAGTTAAAGATGGAGTCTGTGCCCTGACTCTCAGAAGTGAACTGGATCAAAGAGACGAGCTGAAGGACGTTGGTCACTCAAACGTTCCGAAACATTCCCTCTTCGGAAATGTTTTGATTTCTAGGCTTTTGTTTCTGCTGCTCCCAGAGGTCTCTTCTTTTCTTTTTTTACCCTCTTTTGTTCCACGGCCTTGTGCTTACAGTGCTATGTTGTTGTTTTTGTTCCATAGAAATATTCTTGATTGATCCGCACTGGCACAGTGTGGGAGAAAAATACATTCTAGCTGTCTCTTAAATTATCCACAGTAGTAGTGCTGTTTTTTTTTTTTTCTTCCCCCTCCTGTAATAACTGACATATTGGAAATGGCAAACTCGGCCTCTGGACACACATGTGATATCGGGCTTTTGTGGATTTTTGTCCTTGAATCCTCTGTTCCTCTTCGACCTATTAGTTTCCTGCCCTTCTCTGTAGTCACCTGGTGTTTGTGTTCAGTGGAAACATCTTGCATGCAGACTGTGTCACCTGCACCTTCCCTTGAATACTGATGTGTTTCTATTCTCTCGGGGTTGTTGTGATGAAAAACAATAACAGATGTTCAGTAGTCCCAGTAGGCAGATTTCAGTCTTTTATTCAGCTAAACCAGACAATTTCATGCTAAATTTCCCTTAATATTCTATCCTGTGCTCAGTCTGTTCCTTTTTTATTCATCACTTTGTCACGGTTTAGATTTTAGAGTCGAAACCCGACAGAAAACCAGATTTTTTTTTTTTTTTTGTTCACCCCTAAATGAATGTGACTTTTGAATTTGCACTTTAAAGTGAATGCTGGTAGCCTAATTGCACTCAGAGATGGACAGGACTCAGTTTTTATTTTTTTGTTTTTTTTGTCCATTGCTCTTGACAGTTCCAGAATTTAACTACCAGAAAAGTATTATTAGCCATGGCTTGTTGCATAAACTTTTCTTCCCCTCTCTCTCCCTTGTCTTCCAGCTGGTTGAATCCTGAGCTGCTCCATTCCCACCGAGGCGAAGGATTGGAGTTGGCAAAAGATCTCGGGTGGGTGGACAGATGGGGAGGGGGGGGGATGGGAGGGGTCCAGGGAATCAGAAAATAGTGGGAATCCTTAAGACTTAATAAGTTAAGGTTTGCGGAGCTGTGGGGCTCGTAGTTGAAACACTTATTGTCATATTCCTCATGTTCCCCCTCCTAATAAATGTTGCGCTTTCCTACAATCATGATATTTTGTGCAAATTGTGTTTTTGTTTTTTCACCTGACTCTCCCACTTAGCAAAATACACGTTTTAAATTAACAATTGTAGATAAATATTAGAGGCTTTACCTTTTTAAAATGTTGGCTAATTATGATTTAAGACTGATTGTTTGATCCAGTAAGAGGGATTCTCAATACGCCACATGTTGGATTTGTTTTAGTCCACAACTGACACCGGGATGGATAATGTTGGCTATGTAAGCAAAGGGCACGTTTATTTGTATATCCTCTTTGAACAACAAGGCAATTCAATATTCTTTAAATAAACCAGGCTCGATTTACCAACGCAAACTGACAAAAAACCCCAGCTTCACCGTGGGTCAGGGGCTTTGTGTTATCAAATTTGCATATGGTGCTTTTTCCATTATAGGAGTGTTTTCAGATTCTTTGTGCAAATTATAACGAAGCTGCCAAACTACATGTGTGCAATGTACTTTATGGACATTTTGAGACAAGAGGGGGCCAATAGTCAATTTTTTGCCACCATTCCCCCAAAAGTGCTAATTCAGCCACATGTGGAAGACCTACGAATGCATTTAAACAACATATAAAAGAAACGCAAGGCAACAGAAAAGGACATGAATATGATTCAAGACAAATAAGGGATAAAACAAGTGGCATTTACTGTTTGAGTAGATTTAATTTGCTATTTTTTTTAAATATAAGCATGGATTTTAAGTATCAGGTTCTTTCCATAGTGTCATCTGCACTGCACAATACATAAAATCTAATGAAACCTGCAGCAAACGACTTTTCAACTTGAGTTTGATCATACACAAAAAGGATTTATATTAGTTCTACAGTTAGCCAGACGTTAGTCCAGTTTTGTTTTACCTCTTCGGTCTTTGAATAATTATTAGATGAAACCTTGAGAAGTTAACAAAGGCAGGAGTTTAATCTTCAACAAGAAGTTGTATTTTAACTGATTATATGTATTTTAGTCACTAAATCTTGTCTATCGAGTAGCATTAAATGGAAATAGTTAAGTACAAGTGCTGCAAAATTGCGTTTAAAGGACCAGTGTGTAGGAGTTAGCGACATCTAGCAGCGACTAACTGAACACCGCTGGCGTCTGGGTTTGAAATGAGAGCTAAATAAGAAACTGAGGTAACAAAAACACAACTTCATTATACCCAAATGAAAACATACCAATGAATATTCTAACACCACGGGTCCTTGTAATTAAAGAACCTGTGGTTAAACTGCAGCACTATTGGTTTTACTGAAGCAGTGGATGAGGTGTCTGAAGGAGTTGTGGAGCTCACAACAGGATGATCTGGAGATGATCATGAAAGAGCGCTGAGCGATACCATCATCCGCTGTCATTCTGTGAAGCTCTTCAGAAAACAAACACAGTCAAACAGCCGAGCAGAGCAGCGATGAAGGACCGTAATTTGGGAAGTTGTTTTTGTTTTTTTAATTTCACCATCTAAACAAAACACTTCCTGGTTACTTTCCTTTTTATCTCCTCTTTCCGGCACTCATTTGGTTATTTTACAGTAAATGATAAGTGAACTTCCTGAAGGGGAGGTAACGCCACTGGGGTGGGGTTTCCGTACTGGGGCACGGCGTGACGTCACCGACCGGGGCTTTCCTTCTTGACGTCAGAGGGGCAGCGGCGGAGGAGGGGGAGGAGGAGGAGGAGGAGGAGGAGGAGCGGCAGAGACAGGGCGAAGCGGAGTCGAGCTGCGGAGATCACACTGAGCTTCAGCGTTGCGCTCCCGGGGGCGCAGGAAGACTTAAGAGGCCGCCGTCACCTGCACGAAGCTCCCTTAACCCAACCCCCCACCTCCCCACCCACCCCGAGAGGAGAGAGACGGGCACGGTAACGTTAGGGCTGTTTCTTACCGACGGCTTCCTTCTTACCGAAGGAAGGGAGCCAGCATAAGGAGCTGAAGTGGCCGTCGCATCGCTCCCCTGTCGGAAGAAATCCGGTCCTGAGCAGTAAGGTAAGTGCTGTATGAGCTGTTTGTGTGAGACGGCTTTAAGAGGCTCTGCTCCTTGTGTAGACTATCTTCATAAAGCAGAATAAAGGGCCACCTTAAAGGGAGTGCAGCAGTTTGCCACCACAAACCCTAAAATCATTGGTTTTTTTTTTTCTATGATTATGCACAAGTATGACACTCACATTTTCTGCATCTGCCTGTCAGGAGGGTCAACTCAGACCAAAAGCACCCCAAAAAAATATCATTAAACATAAGGTAGGAGGCTGTACCGGTACCTGGAGGGAGGAGAGGAATCCAGCCCTCAGTGCTGCTTCAGGTCTGGACATAATCATAAACTATAAAAACAAAATGTCTTCAGCTTCAGTACAGTCATTGTCCAAGTCATCCAGGATGACTGAGAGTTAAAAATCCTTCCCTGGCTTTCCCTTTAAAACATTCCAGTCTGCTCCGCCACTCCCTGGTCACTGTTTGGGCTGAGGACATGGTGTATTTTCCTGAAAAGACAGAACAAAATACATTAAAGTACTTGGGAATTTAAAAGAAAAAAGGAAGAGCTAGGCAGTAGAGCTAAGAACAGAGGAGATATTATGATAGTGTACTGTAAGAGGAGGTCTTACAGTGACATTGAGCCCTATAAAGCCTGCACAGAAATATGATGTGAATATTTAGGGGGATTTATTTGTGTTTGAGGACAGATTTTTGTTATCATACTTTATGTGGAAAATGTTCCAGCAGTGTAATAATAGGTTTGGTTGCCTTGATGAAGAGACAACTTCCAAAATGAAGGGTTTATGTAAATATTGAAGCTGTAAATATTCGTATAATGTATAATATTTGTAACCTTAAAGATAAAAAACAACAGCACTCTAATGAACTAGTGAGGCTGTAGTAACAACTATATGGGTAATGGGTACAACTGTGAGGTTTAGGATGGGTGACAGTGGTATTATGAGCTTTCACATTGCTGTGTGTTTTTACCATTGGAAAAGAAACAGTGACAAACATCTCAACCTGATACAGTCTGAAGTGTCCTGAATCCATCCAGTTGATGCTTTTCCGTTAGAAATCAACAGAGATGCACAGAATCTCCTTTTCCTCTCACGGTTTGACACCTAGAGCTTGACTGATAGCTTGGCTGAAGCAATTGTCTGATGCTAATCACAGAAATGTCATATTAAGTAAGGTATTACACTACAGACAGAGATGTGTTATAGTTTGTTAATGAAAGTAACTGAGATGAGACGGATTAGTCACTTTTGGCTGATACCAGATCTGTTTAATAAGGTCATTACTGCTGCCAACACAGCCCAGGTGTCAACACTGGTGCGTCACTAAAATTAAAGACAAAGAGTTGTTGGCAAATGCTTCTTAGAGTAGGTCTAGTTTAAGAACAGTACTCTGACCTTGAATATATATTATATATTATATTATATCTTTTTATCAACACTGTTTCCTTTGAGATGTTTGTTATTATTCTGTCCAAAACTGCACATATAATAAAAAGATAATATTGTTTTAAGACATGTACAGCTCTGCTGGACAGGGTGTTAATGGTAGTATTTGTTGAACCATATGTTTTCTGCAGAAGCATATTCAGTATCATGTCATTACATAAAAAAATATATATTGTTATAACCAGCTACTTTTATTGGTATTAGAATAAACTATTTATCTTGTGTTGTAAGGTGAAACATTTCATGCTTTAAGTGATAATTTATTGTTATAACAAGAAAAGTCTCACGTTATATTATGATAACTTATATTGCTTTATTGTAATAACAATGTAGACTTTATTGTTATATAACGCTTCATGTTATAACTATAAGTTATGTTATAATAAGATGAATAGTATATTGTTATAACAAGAAACATTTCTTGCTGAAAATATCTTGTTAGAACAATAAAACCTTTATAACGGATGTGAAGTCAAACACTCACACAGATTTTTCTTGTGCCAGATTTTTTGCAGCAGATGTGTTTGACCATTACCTCATCCAGAGGAGGTTTGGGTTCCTGTGTCATTATGTAGTTCATGTTACAGATAATAGTCGGGAATTACACGCTCAGTAGTCAGATGCACCGTGTCTGTGTCCATGCATTGTGCTGCTGTTTCCTCTCTGAAACCTGAATCCCCTCCTCCAGTTTACTGTTGTTACGGCTGCTCACCTCATCCGCCCCTCTGTGCAGGCCCCAGTTTGTGTGTTTGTGAGGGGGGGTTATGAGTCTGTGTGTGTTAAGAGGTGGTGTGAAGGGGCTCACAGGTTGGCTCTTTGCAACTGAAACGCCTGCAGGCCTGACATTAAACATTCAACAACTCAGCAGTATGGCTCCTGAACGCTCCTCTAATTATAGAAGCTGATTTCTCTCTACCTCCACCTTCCAGTGCATCGCTCTGGACTCTGAATGTACTTTGTGTGTGTGTGTGTGTGTAGGAGAGGGATACATGTGTTAATGAGAATCAGTGGAAAAGGGAGAAAATGCTCAAACTCTCCATTTGTGTGTCCATCTGCCTCCCACTGCATTTATTCCTAAAAATGAGAACATTATGAGTTTTTTTTCCAGATAGATAGACAGATAGAGAGATAGCTGGGTTCCCACGCACCCTACACATTTAAAGATTAGTTTTCCAGGCATGGAATCACAGAGAAATTGACAAAATATCTTGAAAATAATCTATTTTGTCATAGAAAATTTTAATATTATTTCATGCCCTAAGTCAGATCTCCTACGTGAACCAAGGTGCAGACACTTTCACTTTCTAGCTTTACTTTTATTAAGCTATGGGTGAGAAGATTCTTCTCCAAACAAGATAAATTCTGCTTGATTTGAACTCATGAGCTAATGCTGTGGTAAACTGTAGTCAATTCGCCGCAGACGCCAACTCCACGCGGCTGTGGTGAGGACCGCCAAGTGCACCATAAATGCTGGTCACCTACCTGTAATGCTACCTGAGACACTTCATCATGAACCCTGCATCATGAAGCAAGGAGGAATCAAACGGTGGTTCAGTGAGTCAATACTTGGCCTACCGGTAGATTATATGACGTGTGTTTGTGAGCAAGTGCTGTCCTGTATTGTTAAGAAAAAATGTCCTGGAAAATGATGAGATGTCTGCTGATACGGAAAAAAATCTTAATGATAACACACCCAACTTATTACACGCTTCACAGTATCAAAGTCATATTCACAAATATATCAACTGTAAATCAGCAGTCTGGTTTTCTAACACTGCAGAGTCATTAAAGTGGTGATATGGAAATTGGCCAACTGTGAAGCGTTAGTGCATTTCCACTGAAAATGGGCGTGTAAACATTAGTAGATAATAAATCCTCTCCCCTGCATTCGTGTTCAAATTAATTTGGCATTTGCTTTAGGGTGTCAAAGGAAGGCCAAATCTTAGGATGAAGCACATTTTACCAGATGTTTTCTAGGGGAGAGGGTTATGCACACATTGACAGTGTTCAGATTGTGTGTGTGTGTGTGTGTGTGTGTGTGTGTGTGTGTGTGTGTGTGTGTGTGTGCGTGTGCGTGTGTGTGCGTGTGTGTGTGTGAGAGAGAGCTCGATTCCTGGGAAGAGCAGGCCATCATGCCTGATCGTCAGGGTGGTTCATTTTCCACAGAAGGAAGAACTGCTTCCATTATTGGTAATATCAACTTGGGCCCGCTTGCACACTAAAAACCAGTCGCTTTGCTTACAAAATAACACGGTATCTACAGCATTTTATGTGGGTGGCTCTGCTGTTCGCAGAGGGTTTCTTGTAGCTGTGTGAGATATTGACAGTAAACAATAAGTACTTCACGTTCTGTGCGACAATAACTTCAACTCAGGCTGTGTTTCAAACTGTTAGTTTCATCCCAGTCATTTACTGGAAGTGTTGATTTTCTCATGAACAAAAACCATTGCTGAAAGTGAAACAGCTTCATTTTTGAATGTCTGTGTCCACGCTGACTTTCAGATCACATCAACAGTGTGAGAAAATTATCACACATTTATTTGTTCCAACGGGTGTGGTTGATGGGATGTCTTTGCTTTTGATGGCGAGATAAAACTACAATTGGTGATATGGGTGTAAAGTATTTATACTGAATCTAATGAGAATAAATAGAGGCTTTGAAGTTGTGTAGCACATTCTTAAAGGCGCAGTTCAAAGTTGGCTGTGTGAAAATAATAGCTGTATAATGCCAACCACAGAGACAGAAAGAGACATTTGTAAAGGAGTGGGCTGTTGTGGGCTGTTGTGGCCAGTTTCACCAGTTTCACCAATCGTTGGAGTTTCCTGTGCAAAAGTCACCAAACTCACTTCCTTTCTAGTTGTGAAGATGTAGACATGTGACGCAAATGTCTCATATTCACCCTCAAAACAAGTGCAATTTTATTCTCACTGAAACAAGTTGCCTTCAAATGTTGTGACTAAAAACAACTTTTTTTTTGCCTTTTTTTTTACTTTCTCACACACTTCCATTGCAGAAATATATTTTTACAGGCTAACAGTAAACTACGACCAAAGTCTTTGAGCAAGACGCTCTGGTCCCAAATCCTTTCTTTTCTTTTTTTTTGCCAAGAGATAGAAAAGAATATGGATACCCTTTCATTTCTGTACGATAGATATGAAGCTACAGCCAGCAAGGCAGTTAGCTTAGCTTAGCATAAAGACTGGACTGTATACACTGCGGTTTCTGTATGGATTAAACGAAAGAGAAATAACACTGTGGTGTCAATCTTCTAACTCTTAGCAGGAATATTGATCAAAACCCAACTGTTTAGTTGCTAATGAGCAAGGTATTTAATGGACTAGTTCTCCTTAAAGGTCAAATTATTCTAACATGTTCATTCAAGAGCGTTAAAAGCTGTTGTGAGGGTAAATGCTTGTGAAGTGATGGGTTGAATGTTGGTTTTGGGTGGTAGAGGATAAGCTGTTCAGAGTGAATATGAGGTAAGTCTTTTGCTCTTCTGGGAACTGTAAAAACCCGGTTTCCCGCTCACTCCAATTGTTCCAGAAACAAACCAGGAGCTGTGCCAGCTAAAGTTGCTGTCTGTTTTTAAACATACATGAGGGTGAGAAATAGTTCATTTTTACCATTGCCAGCCGCACGGCACCATGTTTGGCCCATGAAATTCGGTGCGTGCTTTGTTACCATCCTCATGTCAAAACTGTATCCAATACTTTGCTTTATGATCAAATACTTACAACACAAAGGGCATTCCCATCGGCCTCAGTTGTAGCCTACTGTATGTTTAGTGCTAAGTAACAAATGTTAGATGTTAACTCAGATGTTAACGTGAACATCAGCATTAAACACTGTAAGGGTGCGTTTAAACACTCTGGAAAAGGCTAGTAAGTGGATCTTTTACTGTTAGGTGAACTGTTTATTTTCCTACAGAAGTTCTTTGGAATATTTACAGTTTTCTTACAGTTAAGAATGATACAAAGGAAGAGAAGTGATTGTTGAAGTTTCCTGCTTGGACATAAACCAAGATGTTTCAGTTTTTTACCTCGAGCTGTTTTCTTTATTCCCGCCAACACTAGAGGAGTACAGTTGGACTAAGCAGGTCTCAGGTGCCGATGCAGAATGGTTGCAGGTATAACTGCGGGATGATGAAAGAGGGCATGGCCTTTCTGAATTATTAATTAACAAAGATTCCTAATTTGTGGCTGTGTGATGAAAGCAGCAGTGTAGGTGGAGTCTCCAATGAGGTCACCCAGTACACTGAGAATCAACACTGAAAAAAGAGGTTGGCGTTTTTTTCCTGCTCTAATGTGTCATTATAACCCAGTTAATCAGTCGTGATATCTAATCTGTGTGAGTCAGCCGGTCCTTCTGCTCACTGGAAGTAGCCTTGCCTTGTGTGTGTGTGTGTGTGTGTGTGTTCCTGTATTTTTTCTACGAGGACCAAATGTTCTCAAAAAGATACAGAGATCCTCCAAAATGAGGACGTTTTGCTTGACCTTTCGTCTTTAAAAGGAACATTTAGCCACTAATAATGAGAATGTGCAGTCTGTGCCGGTGATCTGCGTGGTCCATAAAAACCATGACCACCTCGGGTCTGGACGCTGCCTAACAACGCAACAACGGCTACTTTACTGCTGTTGGTTAAGTGCAGCTGGAACAACAAAATCCCCATAATAACTCTGCTCACTAGCTTTCATTAGCTTCACCTTACATGAGGATGTAGGTTCCCTCTGCAGTTGAACAGTTAAACTTTATACTCAAACATAAATATACAGTCATTTCCACAATATGGCTGAATGCACTGCTTCCGTGTCATGCTGGCATCAGAGCTCCGATGCTTTAGCTGAAGTAGCATATTCAGACACGTTTTTTTGTATGATTGTTTAAAACATAGTGAACATACAAATTAACAGCAGTTAATTAGATTTGAGTTGAAGTTTCTGCAGACATTTTCCATCCTGAAAACTGCCATTTGAAAATAAATTCAATCCGAGCTGCTTTCAGTCACCTTTTAAACCTTATGTGTTTCATATTTAAAACACAGATTTATCACTTTAGGTCAGAGTCACTGAAATAATTAGTGGACAGAGCTTCCGGGATGCCACTGCAGAAGTAACTTAAACTTACATTCTTTCTAATGGCCTGTAGGGGGCGACTCCCTGGCTGCAAGAAGGAGTGCATTTGTGTTGACTGTAATGGAGAAATGACCCTACTTCTCACTTGATTTATTACATCAGTAAACTGTTTTACAATGAGTTCATAGCCTCAATCACTTCACCAGTTTAAGATAGGCGTACCTAACAATGCCAAACTCAAGTCACAGTGGATTTTATGTAAGTAGATAAACACCTGTTTGCTTTACCTGCTTTTGTTTTTACATTACAGTGCTGTAAAATGACCTAATAGTGTAGCAGTTGTTAGCATTCATTTCCATTTTTGTAGTGTCCAGCAGTAGGCTGTTAAATGTATGTATTTAAACATGTAGCACCCAGTACGGATTCAGGAAGAATAATTATTATAAAATTTGACCTGGGTTACGTCTGAGCATTAAATATTTGTATAAAATGAATATTTCTTAGTGAAACCTTTTAAATATTTACGCTCCATATGAGAAAAGTAGATGATTTAAACCGACGAAAGAAAAGAAAATGTGAAGAGAGGTGCATTTGCAGGGCTCTACAGTTAAATTTAATCAATCTGCAACATATTTCTTGAACCAAAGCTGCAGAGGAAGCAATAACAGTTTTAAGATAAGTCAAACTTTGAATGCAGGAACTTTACTTGTAATGCAGAAATTTTACATTTGCTGCTTTATTTAAGTAACAAGTCTTTCTTCCGTCACCAGTAAAACCACATCCTATAAAATAATCAGCTTTTTTTTTTCAGTTTGATTGAGAGCACACTATGGTTGATGTTGCTCTGTAGAAACATGAGAAGCAGACAGAGATGCGTCTTTAAAGCAGGTCAGCTAGCGAGCGGTTTACTTTATTACCTCAGTGCCTATTAGCTGATGGTCTCTAATTAGCTCTTCCCCCAAACACACACACACACACACAGATACACATAATGCATTATTAGCTCCTGGTTGAAAAGGGGACCACCTGTTCGGCCCCCGGCTCTCAGATTAACAGGGTTTTAGTCAGTATCACTACAAACAGGCTGAGCCGAGCCGTCTGCTGGACCCCAGCTCTCTATGGATCTGTTTGTTCACGTTCAATCATGTCATCAGTCAGTTTAGACTACAGGCTTTTAGTTGATGCTCTTATGCAAAGCGATAAGATGCTCTTGGACACTGAGGGCAACAACAGGATAATCTATTTAGTGAAACATTAGAAAGAAAAATGTTCCGAGAGTACTATTTTTGTACTCTTTTTTTGTTTTGTGTGACCGAGGTCAGTGTTTTTTTTGTTCAGATGTAATTGTGGTTGAGTAATATAAGCGCAAACCATGTGCAGACTGGTGAAATGGTTTGTTGAGGCATGTTGTGTTTTCTGTGCTTGCTTATGTATAATGGATGCGTGTGGAATCTGTACTAAAATCATAACATCATTAGAGCCAATTGTTTGTTTACAGCATATGAGGGTTGAGCTTCATGTTCGTGCGTCACTGTTGGTGCACGAACAACATTATTGTTTTTTAGATGATGCATTCATAAGCTTCCAGCAGATCTGCAGTTTCGCTGGTGTCACAAGAAGTTCAGAGTCAGAGAGGCCCGACAGCCTTCATGAGAATCAGCAAAGACAACAAACAGCAGCGAAGTTCTTAGGAAAGATCTCTGGACATTTCATAAATAATGTGTTTGGCAGAATGGGGAAATATATTTCCCCACCATGATATTATTATGTGACCTGAAAAGGCTGCATTGTGTCACTGGCAGTGGTGGAAGTTGAGTAAGTACATTATCAAGTGCTGCACATATGTTAAACTTTGAGGTACTTGTACATCACTTGAGTACAGTGGTGGATTCATGCTGTTTGAGGGCGCACCAGAGTGCAGAAAGTTGCTTTATAGTGAAACAGTTTTATTTAGTGATCACATTTTTATTATTTAAAGTGAAGCGATGCAGACATACAGGCATACTGGCCAGTAAAGTGTACTAATAAATGACCAACAAAAACATATAAATGAGGTCACTCTAAGTCCTATACTAATTGCACATAAACATACAATACCCTTAAGGAAAGCAACATATACAAACCTACAAACCTTTACCATAGGGACACTTTTGAGGGTGTTTTTTAGAACATGGGGGCCCCGGGGGGCATCTTTAAATATAAAAGGCTCATTACAGCACTAACAAGTAAGTAACAAGCACTTAACTCTTATTTCAGGTTGTTATACACTAATGAAAACATGCCTATGAATATTATATTTAATTTCTGGACCTTTAAATACATTTTTCTGAGGCCATATCACACAGGACACTTACTTGTGTGTTGCAGTGTGAATCCTGTAGATGTGTCGAGACCGACAGTGAATCATCTTGTTGCATAACAGCAATCAGCTGTCAGAGCAGCACACCTGTAGCACACAGTGGATTATTCTGAAGCACAGGTATCGTATGTGTGTGTGTGTGTGGCCAGTTATTTCTTGGCCTCTCTAATGAGAGGAGCCCACGCAGCTTGAATCAGTTCAGCCTTTTATTAATCTTATTATGTTATTTAAGTCTATGGCTTCCTTGTTTCTTAGTTTTTTTTTATTATGTTGCGATGTTAAATAATTTTAGTAGACAGTTTATTTGATTTTGAGTAACTTTTAGGTAATGTCCTGTTGTAAATGTCATTTTATGCTCAGTAACCTGGTGAAAGTGTGTTTGCTGATGCCTGGTTGTCCATGCTAGGTTTGTAACCTACAATAAGAAATTTATTTTTAGATGTTTTTAAATTGGTTGTTTTGCCAAACCAAGAGTCTAAAAACCTAAACCTAAAACCCAATATCTAACATGTTCGAATTACAATGATATCAAACTGAAAATCATCACATTTGAGAGGCTGCAAACAGAACATTTATTTTTTTAAGGATGAACTGTTATTAAAATCTTTTGTCAATTGATTCATCAGCTCAGCATTAGTCCATATAATCTGTGTGTAATGCAGTCTAATACAATAGTCCTGCAATAAATCCTTTATTAAAGTTGTAATGTTCAGTTGTTATTGAGAGAGGTGTTTCTAATATTTAGAAATAATATTTATCGGTATAAATGAGGTGGACAGAATAATAGAAACCACAAACTGAAACCTCCAGAATGATCATAAAGTTGGATAAACACCTCTAAAAACAGTTTCAACAAAAACTGAACATCAGTTTTAGATGGGTGTACCTAATAAACTGGTAGCTGAGTATATGTACCGCATGTGTGTGTGCTGCCAGTTGCAGTGTGTTGTTTGGCCGTGCTCTGCAGGGAGAGACTTGAGGATCCCAAAGTGCTGAGGCATAGATTTACAGTGTGTCTGAGAACAGATTATTCTCTCTCCCTCTCTCTCTGTCTCCCTCTCTCTCTGTCCCTCTCTCTCTCTCTGTGTCTTGTGTCTGATTCAGGAAAACCCATTACGAACCTTGAATTGGGCTGTAAGGTTTCATTATGGTAGTTTTGGAACACTGAGCGTTATAGTTTTAACATCCCATAAAGACATAAGATTAAAAGCCCCACTGGTGGCCTTTAGAGGCAGCAGTTTTATTACACCACCACGTACAAACGTGTCGGATTGAACAAACAAAATAGTAATGATTTTGTTTTTCCTGAGAACCTTAAATGTAAAGTTTGTCATGAAGTTGTAAAAGGAAAAGAAAGACCAGTGAGTCATTAAAATCCGAAGGGTTTATCCCCACTGAGAGACTGAAGGCGCTCATCCAAATTTCATTGCAACTTGCCTATTTAGCTACATTCTTTATTGTCTTAATCGTGGTAAAAAAAATCATACTGCAATTATTCTGACAAATATTGCCATATGATTCACAATTAGTGGGAATGATGATTTTTGCATCACCGTTTTAATTCTCACTGAAACAAACAATTAAAATCATGTTGATGTGACATTTGCTGAGGTCTGTTCCAAACATGCATGTTTCCTTACATCTGGAGAACAAGATTTATATATATGACAGAGCGGACAAAAGGGTTGAGGTGGTGCCAGGGGATCATGCGCTATGGCGTATGCTCAGCTTGTAACGGCTTTGTTGTTGAGGTCTTGAAGGTGGGGAGACCAGTTATTTTGGAGGCGTTGTGTGTGATGCGTATTGTATGAGTTTGTTCCTATTGGAGGTAGTTAGCATGGTGAAGAAACAGGGAGAACAATAGAGGATAATGGGTTGGATTATACTTTTGCAGAGCAGCAACAGATGTTGGGTGGCAACAGAAGAGTGTTTAGAACAATCAATAATCAATAATGAGATCTCTTTTGTGCAAATTTGACATTTAGGTCTGAGGGTGGCACTAGATGGAAGCTCAAGGAGTGCACAAAGTAGGGGTGGGTTATGTCTTAGTGCAGAAAAGTCAACAATTGGACATTTTAAACTAAATTCTAAAAATGTAAGTACAATTAACACAGTTTAATCTTGATATTTGTTAGCTGTTATGTAGCATAATTGTAATCTACAAACCACAGCGCGTGCCCCCCCCCCCCACACACACACACACACACACACACACACATAGGACCATCCGTTTATTTGCACAGAACTTTTTGTCAGTTCAGACAACAAAAACTTTCATTTCCTAAAAACAGAAAGGAGAAAAAGAGTTTAACAGGGGATGGAGGGCAGAGAGAGTGGAGGACAGTGCATAAGAGCGGCCTGGTGTGTGTGTGTGTGTGTTTGTGTGTATAGGTGTGTGTGTGTGTGTGTGTGTGTGTGTGTGTGTGTGTGTGTGTGTGTGAAACAGAGAGCGAAAGAAAGAAAAAAGAACAAGAGAGCCACTGAAACAAGATAGAGGAACGAGAAATGCTTTGCCAGTGCAGCGAGAGTGTGAGAAGAGGAGGTTTCAGTTGGTGTGTGTGTGTGTGTGTGTGTGCACAGTGCACGTATGCACTGTGATCATTGCCGTCATTTGGCAGATAGGTCTGAACAGCCTGAGAACTTCACAATCTGGACTTGATTTGTTATCAACACGCACACACACACACACACACACACACACACACACACACACACACACACACACACACACACACACACTTTGTTCCACATTTGTCCTCCTACTCCACTGCTGCTCAATTCAGCTCACACACACACACACACACACACACACACACACACACACACACACACACACACACACACACTCAATTCTCCCGCTATTACTTTAGAGCATAAGTATCATTATTCAACCATCAGTGCACATTTTGCACCATGTGAATGTCTTCAGAGAACTAATCGAATCTCTACCCTCTCGTTATCTAACGACTGGGACACTGATGTAATTCCCACCACGAATGATACATTTTATTTTGTTTTGTTTATTTAACATTTATGCATGTTTGCAGTTTTCTCTGTGTTTTTGCAGATAATGTGTTAATGCTGATGAGGTGTTTCACCAGAAGATGTGAAGAAATCTTAAATGACCTCAGATGCATAAAGATGTATTTATATAACACAAGTGCTTCACAAATAGAACAATTATTCACTAAATATCAAAACAGTAACAGTGAGAAGAGTGATAGTAACAGTGAAAGACAGTTTTAAACGTTTCGATACTAATGATAAAATGATACCTGAAAAACCCTTTGAAAAATACCGGTATGAGCATATAATGATAAGAAGAAAGTTTATTATACCACTTATCAGTAATGTGTATATTTTATATATACAATAAAATCAAATCAATGAGTCATCAAGTTAGCAGTGAAATCAACATGACATCAAATAGCAAAATTTTAACTGTTAACAAAATCCTTTTTCATTTAACAAAATAGTGTTAAATATTCTGAAATTAACTATTATTTAACATCTACAAGATTACAAAACCCTGTGTATTTGCAGGTTTTGAAAAGTCTTGAAAAGCATGGAATTTAGTTTCCGACAAAATACTTAATATTTAGATTTAATTACTAAACTCTTAAATGCTTTCTTTTGCCTATAACAATCTTGAATATAATAATTAAGTATAGGATCATATAGTTGTCGATGGATAAAAGATGGGGGTACTCAATGGAGATTGCCATTATAAAAGATGTATGTTTATATTTAACAGTATAATAGTTGATCAGATATGAAGATATTGAGATTGAGCTTGTTTGTTTGATGCATGGAGTGAATACATGTTGTTGGGTACTTTTTGTTTCGTTTCATCTTGTCTAATTAGTATTGATTTGTCAAAGTGTATCATATATATTGAGAAATCTACTAAAAACTTGTGATGCTATCAGACACATTTTATTCATAACCAAAAAATATCTACCTTAATCACAGCAGACATTTTGGATTATCATAGCAGAAAAACAGGTGTGAGTAAGTCCACTTCAGTTAAATACTTCAGTCAGAGTTCACAGGATGTTCAGGTATTGATACACCTGAATGTGTTTATGTACACTCATACGTCACGGAGAGATCAATCAAACTGGAACAGACGATCAGAAGTGAGCCTTCAATTAGAAATGTGAGAAATGAGCAGAAACCAGAGACCTGAAACCTGTTTTTCTGATCTCAGTCGTTTCATCTCACCTCCTTGAAGGAGCAGGAAATCTTTATCAGTACACGAGAAAATTACCTCCTCTTTTTTCCCCCATAAACAAACAGCTTGTGGCGGACTGTGTGTGTATGTATGTGTCTGTGTGTGTGTTGAGACATCTGTTTGAAAGAGAGAGGTGTTTCTTCATCAGAGTACGCAGCTTGATATCATGAAGCAACATTACAGAATTGGCACGCGATTAAAGTTTCACCAGTTTGATTCCAGTTCCTGATCACTGGGCTAAATGGGAGTCCTGTGTTGGACGAGGATGAAAGCTACGCACACACACCCACACACACACACACACACACACACACACACACACACACACACACACACACACACACACACACAGATCTACTGTTCAAATTTATAGAGTAAATCAAAATCAAAACTCCTATCTCAAAAAGCATTGAGTGCTCAGGGCTCTATCGCACAAACAAACAAACACACACACAGGCTGCCATCTGTGACACTGTGCGATAGTGTGTGTGTGTGTGTGTGTGTGTGTGTGTGTGTGTGTGTGTGTGTGTGTGTGTGTGTTTGGTGTGTGTGTGTGTGTGTGTGTGTGTGTGTGTGTGTGTTTGATGCTCAGAGTGCAGCAGACGAGAGGGCTATTACAAACTCAGCCGGTGGGAGGTTATATTTAGGAGCTGTGGGCTTTTTATACACTTACACACATTTCAGTGGAGACCCAGTTTGACCCTGAGAAGATGGCGAGTGATGGCTGCTATGGCAACTATTAATGGATATGTATGTGTTGGTACAGTATGTAGTTGTGTGTGTAGAAAAAAAAATGCACAGAAATGTTTCAGCGTTTACTCTACCAGCTGAAATCCTCCTCTTTTATTGATTCATGGCTTCAGATGTGTTTTTCTTCCGTCGCCTTGCAGCGTGTTGGTGCTGTAATGTAGGTTATCAGTCCCTCACATCTGTTTGAAGGTTGTGAATATCAAACAGCAGCAGGTTGGGATTATTTTTTAGTATCTGGTTAAGCATCAGAAGTTTCTTCTCTATCTTAGAGAGACATCAGCATGAATCATCAAATTGGCCACTGAGTTCAAAGGTAGTGTTTCAAAATGAGCAAAAGTGGGAAATAACAAAGTTCTTTTTTTATGTGTCTGTACTTTTCTCTTTTTATTTTTCTTTCTACTCCTGACATTTTCAATTGGCTTCATTCTTCTTTAGCTTTACTGCATTTGAGGGGAATTATCTATTATTACTGTTTTTTGCATCGTTGCGCGCCTTCCCAGCATCGAGACCGGCCCACATAGCGCATGACAAACGTAACAAGAAGCGACAGACAAGAGAGGGAGACTTGACCCTAATTGAAGTTTCAGTTAGCTTTCCACAGAAACAGCCGGTAATGTCCTTCAGAGAAACAAAGACAGTACTTCTTGCTTTTATACTCTCAGCACATTTTGTACGCTGTGCTTTTCCCCTTCAGCTTGAGTAAATAAGTTGAATCAGTACTTCTACTTTTAAGTATCTGTCCTTCTACTCGAGTAAAGAATGTGTGTACTTTTTCCACCTCTGATGAATGTAGATGAATGTACTGAACCCTATTAATAGAATACCCCAAAATAATAATAATTAAGGCTTTTCTCTCCCCAAACCGATTCTGATATCTAAACTCAGAGTATCTAACAATACTGAGTATCAGACTGATAATTGCTCTGTTTAAAACCTTTATAACAGCTACCTCATTGTGTGGAACTCATTGGGATGAATAGGACAGTATTATGCTCCAGGGATGTTAATGTGGTGCCAATAATTGAGTCAGCAGTACACTGTGGCTGAATGAATTTATGCTCATTTATAAAGACACTGACAAAGAAACTGTGTTTAATGTGGATCAGTCACGTCTGGCCTCTTTTCGTTCCCCTCTATAAGGTCAGATCCGATCAGAACATCCCTAAAAATATTGCGTCATGCATTGCCTCTGGCTATCAGTTTCTTTATTGCAGTGGTGGAAAGTACTGTACTTCAAGATATTTTACCTTTACTTGAGTATTTCATTTTCATATAACTTTATACTTGTAAATGTTTTCAGATTACAATTTTAAATACGCTTCCTGTCCAGTCCATGTTGTTCCAAATCTGGTGTTTCGGACAATCTGAAGAATTAAGTGTTCCTTTATGAGAAAATTCTCCTACTTAAGCTAAATAAACTATTTAATCCCCCCTCTTTGGATTAGCTAAATGCATTGTCACAAACAGGCTATTTTTCTGATGTGTAGTTCTCACAGGACAGCCACGCGACAAGATGATCTTATAGAATATGATGCATTGCTGTAGATTAAACTACTCAACGGCATATTAAATAGTTAAAAATGAGCTCAACCTTAAATATCTACAGAAGTAAAAAGCAACAAACGCATTAATGCAGCAGTAATATAAATCCAAAACCATTTTTCTGCAAAATGTGTACTTAATACTCACATACTTTTGCTACTTCTCTACTTACTTTTATTTGTAGTGGAGTATTTTCACAGGGACTTTTACCTAAACCTGTTACAAGGAGTTTTTAACTGCTTATGAAACTGTCTCAATTTATAACTGACACCTCTATATAACCTCTATAAGCATACAAGACCATCAGCAGGAAGACTTGCTATTTCTGTTGTCCTTAAAGCCTGCCACTGTGTGGGATTCCCCTTGAAATTAATTTAAAGAGGTGGTGGAAACCGCGTTTGTCCACAGGGGTCGCCAGAATCACCAAAAAATGGATCCGAACAGGATCTGAATACTTTTTCTGTTACTGCTTTTATGACACTGGGGGGGCATAGAAGTCAGAGTGGCTCTAAAAGTTTCTAAAAACACAAAAATAATGCATAAATGTAAATTAAAGTGCATCGAAATTACCATTAACATAACACAGTATGCCCAGTTCTCTTTATTCTGTCTGAGAAGATCTTAGGTTAAATATCCAAATAAAATAATAGCCTATAATCAGTTTTGGATCGTCTGGGGTTGTCTGCCTTTTTTTTTAACGACCTGGAAATTATAACAGACTCAGACTTCTCAGCTCAGCCTGAAGCCAGCACTTGGCAGACGTCTCTCTGTCTGTCTGCTCCTCAGTGACTGGTCAGCTAATCTGTCAGTCACCTGAACACACGGGTAACAATCTCCTGAATGGTCTGACGTTTGCTGGGTCAGCACTACCCTGTCTGTTTGTGTGTGTATGGTCTTTAGACTAGCAGCCATAATCAGATTTGTGAACTCGTAAGTCAGTCAGAGAGGTCAGTCACTTGCTGGTCAGAGAAAAACAGAAAACATCTGCACTGCTGTGGGAGTCTGTTTGTGTCGTTTAATTCAGTTTAGTATTGATTTATTGAATGTAACTTAATTGACATTCCTCTTGAAAACCTTCCTGGAAATGTTTCGGCTCACTGCTTTTTTTGTTTGAGTTTTGATGGTTTTTTTCAACCCATTAAGAAGCAGCTGGATTTATTTTTCACACAACAACAAATAACAAAAAACATAACTTGCAACTTAATAACACATTAGAGCTTTTTAAGTGTCTCTTACACACACTCTTTGCAATAGCTCACACAGCCTGTAATTGTACCAGCAACACAGGATGTAATTATCATGTGTACGTGCGAGTGTGTAGATATCACTTTTCACTTCTGTGTGCTCACTCAGAGGTCTGTGTGTGTGTGTGTGTGTGTGTGTGTGTGTGTGTGTGTGTGTGTGTGTGTGTGTGTGTGTGTGTGTGTGTGTGTGTGTGGCTGATGATTTTCAGCTTTCATTTACAAGTCTGAACGTGCTGTTTTATCTGTGTGTGTATGTG